TATTGTAATAATGTCTTTCCTAATTGCCTTTTCTAAGTCCTGATTGATTTTCTGCCCCACATCCTGACTACTGCTAGGAGGCCTGTCCATGACTCCCATTTGGGTTGTTTTTCCTTTGCAGTTCCTTAACTATACACACACATTTTACACCTTCTCACTCTTTTGCATTTCTTGCTAGTCATTTAATTTCATTTCTTACCAATAAGGCAATCTCATTTCCTTTACAAGCATGCAAGAGTTTTTTTCAATAGAACGTGTATCCTTGGATATTTAATTCCCAGACCTGATCCCCTCGCAGCTATATTTCTGCGATGCCGGCAAAATTATACCTGCCAATTTCAATCTGCACAACAAGTTAATTTACCTTTTGAGTAGCACATGCATTTAAATACAATACCCTCAGTCCAGTGTCAACCACCTCCTTCTCAGTTATCCCCTTATCTGCTGTGCCCAAAGTCAGATTCCTGGCTCTTTCATATTCTGAAAACTTGAATAACCTTTAAGGCGGCACGGTGGCTCAGTGGTTAGCACTGCTGCCTCACAGTGCCAGGGACCCAAATTCGATTCCACCCTCGGGCAACTGTCTGTGTGGAGTTTGCACATTCTCCCCGTATCTGCGTGGGTTTCCTCCGGGTGCTCCTGTTTCCTCCCACTGTCCAAAGATGTGCAAGTTAGGTGGATTGGCCATGCTAAATTGCCCACAGTGTTCAGGGATATGTAGATTAGGTGGGTTATAGGGGATGGGTCTGGGTGGGATGCTCCGAGGAGACTGGTTGGGCCAAAGGACCTGTTTCCACACTGTAGGGATTCTATTAAAAAAAACCTCTCCTGAGCCCTCCCCCTTGAGCTAGTTTAAGGTCTTTGTGACCTTTCTGCTAGGATTCTGGTCCCACATCAATTCAGGTGGAGCCCGTCCCAATGGTTCAGTCCCAACATGGATGCCAGTGCCCCATGAAACGGAAACCCTCCTTCCTACACCACTCCTTCAGCTACACATTTACTCCACTAGTTTCCTTATCTCTCTGTGCATGTAGCTCAGATAATAATAACCTTGAGATCCTATTCTTCACCTTTGTTCCTAATTCCTGATATTCCCCAAATAGGACTTCTTACCGATGTTGTCAATCCCAACATGATCCATAACAATTGGATCCTCCTCCTCCTCCCACTCCAGTATCTTTTCAATGCAGTTTAAAATGCAACATACTACAGATGACTCTTGATCTGCTTACTGCTATATGTGACCCAAATTACAGAATCCTGTACCATTACTCCCCCTGCTTGAGTCACCTCCTGTACCACGGTGCATTGGCCAGTTTGCCCATCCTCCCTACACTCATTTCTCTCATCCACACAGCAGCAAGCACCTCATGCCTCTTGGACAAGATCAAGAGCTGAAGTTCCTGCAATATTAAATTCAGGATTCCTCCAGCTGCCTCACTTATAGTCATACTCTCCTGCCCTGACCACTGGCCACAGTTGAAGTATTTAACCTACAGGGTGTGTATGCAGCCTGAAACATAGCGTCCAGGCAACTCTTCCCCTCCTTGATGTCGCAGTATTTGAAGCTCAGACTTCAGTTCATCAACTCTGAGTCGGAGTTTCTCGAGCAACCAACACTTGCTACAGATGAGGTCACTATCGATTACAAGGTGATCTCCCACATCATACAGTTTCCACAGATCACCTAGCCCTGCATCTCAAAATTATTTAATTGGTTTATAATTTGTACTTTTAAATTTCCAGTGGTCTAGTTTTTAAATCTGTAAAATATTTCTCTAATTTACCTTTAATCTAAAAGCAAATTAGAATATGTATTCAAATTAGCAGTTACTCACCTATCAATGAACTTGGGGCTTTTCCAACGATGGTACTTTTATTCGTTTCTGATCCCCAACTATCTTCCCCCAATGGCTCCTCTCTCTCTCCAGGCTCCGAGGAGTGTGTGTAGGCCTCAAGCCTCAGCCTCAACTTTTATTTCTTGCACAGTCTCAACGGTGTTCCCCTTGCATTCCAGATTCCCTAAAACCTTACTTTGAAATTATAGAGCAGAAATACTCACCAATAAAAGACATAAAGGTACTAATCACCATCAAACCCCAGTTACACCCTAATGCCACAAAGCAGCACTCTCTGTTTCACCAAATTCTAGTTACACTCTAATGTAACAAAACAGCACTCCAGTGCAGAAGCCCTCCTTTTATGGCCTCTAATCCAAAGGCTTCTGGGTCTGGACTGCATCAGTTGTCTAATTAACTAGCATCAGCTGAGTAAATAAATTCCTATTTAAAATACACTATTAAACTGCACCCAATCAGAAGAGCAATTTTTAGTTAATTGTTAAATTAAAGAACGGACCAACCTTCGATCGAAATTGGCCATAGAGTCATACAGCATGGAAACAGGCCCTTCAGTCCAACCTGTACATACATACCATAATCCCAAACTAAACTAGTCCCACCTGCCTGCGCTTGGCCCATATCCCTCCAAACATTTCTTATTCATGTACTCATCCAATTGTCTTTTTTAAACGTTATAACTGTACTTGCACCTACCACTTCCTATGGAAGTTCATTCCACACATGAACCACTGAAAAAATTGGCCCTCATGATCTTTTTTTAAATCTTTCTTCTCTGACCTTATATGGCCACTTGTTTTGAAATCTCCCAACCTTGAGAAAAGATACCTGCCATTGACCTTATCTATACCCATCATAATTTTATAAACCCCGAGAAGGTCACCCCTCAACCTCTACACTCCAGTTAAAAAACTTCCAGCCTCTCCATATACCACAAACCTTCCATTCCTGGCAACATTCTGGCAAATCTTTTCTAAGCTCTCTTCAACTTAATAATATCCTACTTACAACAGGATAACCACTACTCCAAAAGTAGCCTCACCAATGTCCTGCACAATCTCAAAATGACATCCCAACTCCTATACTCAAAAAGTCTAAGCAATGAAGGCAAGCGAGCTAAATGCTTTCTTAACCAGCCTGTCTACATGTGATGCAAACATATTCCTTAAAACTTGGTTTGTTTGTTAAGCAAGCATCTTAAAATATGAAATCTTGTTCTCCCTTTATTTCCATTCATTACTGGGAAATTTGTTTTCTTTTTAAAACAAATCATTCTTAACGGGGATTTTAACATGTGTTATAACACATGTTGCATCTAAACTGTGTTGACTTAATGTAATAATATATTTGCTAAAATAGTTAGCCAATATTGGTATTCTAACAGTCACAAACAAATCACCTTGTTTAGACGGTGAGGAAGCTGTACATTATAAAGGCAAAATTATCTAATGGTAACAGGTTTTAAATTTACTTTGTTTTCTGAAACAATTTTATTTTACATAAAACCATTGTTTACCACTTGTAAATATTTTCATTTTGAATCGATAAGGCACATAAACAAACCATGTGATGAATCTAACTTACTTCAGTTCACTCTTCAAGAAACAACACTTCATCCAAATTGACAAGTTCATATGATCGCAAAGTGCTCACAAATTTATGAGTTAGTGATCTAATTCGAGATGTCTTGGCATCTTTTTCATGCCAATTTTAATCTTCATAAGCTACGTTATTTGTTCCTTTAAAAAGATAAATTTCATGTGTAGAAATATGAAATGCTACTGAGAATGAAATTCTTAGTAGATTCATGACAGCATGTACAGAAAGGGAACAAGCAGCAGACTGGATATAAAGCGGTCTATAAAACTGGCAAATGCTGGGAAGTAGTGTCCTGCAAGGATTGATGCTGGAATCAGTGCCGTTCATCTTTTATATAAAACATTTGCATTTGTGAATCAGAAATATAATTTGAAAATTAACAGATGAAACCAATGTCAGGATGTAGCTAATGCAGAAAGAAATTAATAACCTTGCAGAATTGCTGTATAACTGGTATGTGTGTATGTGATGCAGTATATTTTGGAAGGCAAAAACAAAGACAGTAACACATGGATGGGAAAATGTCTCTTATTGTGGTGAAGCAACTGAGCCAGATACAGTCGTGATGCAAGTTAGCAAGGATATTAGAAATAAATCGAGTGCTTTATCTAAGTTGAAAAAAATGAAAAGCAAAGAAGTTATGTTGAACTTGGGGAGAGGCTTGCTGAGAACACGAGGTGAACAATTCTAGTCTCCATATTATTAGAAGGATTTAGAGGTATGAGAGATGGCACATGGTACGATTCCGTTTTCTTGAAGAAACAAATGAGGAATTATTAAAGGTCTTGTTAGGGTATGAAAGATTTTCCATTGTAGGAAAGACTAGACATAAGGGATATAAACTTTAAAACGGTCAACAATACATCTATTGGGAAATAAGCAGAAACTTCTTTACCCAAAGAATGAACAGATTGTGAAGTTCCTTATACAAGGAGTTGAGGTGAATGGCATATATGTAATTAAGGGGAATCTAAATAAGAATGGAAAAGAAAGGAATAGAAACAAATGATGAAGGAGGGGTGAGACTCAAGAGGAGCATGAACACTGAAATGGATCTGTTGGATGAAATAACCTATTTCTGTTCTGTAAACACTTTGTATTTATGATTCTATAACCATATCTTACAAAATAGCCCAGTTCTACTGCTCTGCAGACTGTCAGAAGCTGAAACCTTGACCCAAGATGTGCCCTGGGACCCCATGGAAGTTTCAACATGCTCACATTCATGCGAATTGCCTGGGAGGTTTGAACTCCTGATGACCAATTCCTTGGGGCGCAACTTAAACGTCTAACTCTTGAGCTACAGTCAGAGGCTTTGGACAGTTCTGTGTCACTGCCATGGAGTAATGTGATGGGAGTTCACAAATTGACCCATTTCTGGAAGCAGGCAGGCTTGGGACAGCAGAATCTAGGGAGGAAAGGGTAAGCAGAGTGGAGATCTAATGATTATTGCTGTTTTGCAGAAGATCTGGACTAACACATACCCATCAGTTCACAGGTGCTATCATATGGCAACCAACATAGCATTCTCTATGCACATACCTGTACCTTCTCTGCCTTCATTTTTTAGGAGGAACATATCAGAGTACACAATGCCCTTTTCTACATCTTTCTTTACTCGCTGCAAGAAGAAATAAAAATAATAAATTATTTACCAACAAATATAAAACTACCAAACGTGATTTAACTTTTCAAACATGCCTGTATTTGCAACTTGAAGGGGAAACACATCCTTGCTCTTGATAGAAAAAGGTTAGCACTTTTTCAGATTGTTAGCACTTCAACAAAATTACCTTTTTAACATCTTCACAAACACTGTATGTTTGTTCTCTTAATATTCAATGAGTTTCTCATGGGCTTCATATTCTAATACTAATCAACTCATATTCGTGGATTATCTGCTATTTCATCTCTAAGATTTTAGCCGGTCAAGTAAAGCAGTTCTTATGACTGTGAAGAAACAAATAATACCAGATTTTCCCATACTGAAGTAGGCTTTCACACGGACAACTTTCAGTACCTGATCTGCCAAAGTCTATTGTAAAGATTGTATCTCTATTTCAATCAGGCATGACAATGTAACTGTTATAACAATGATGAGAAGAATGCATTAGTAGATAAGCCCCACTACTCCACCAGTCACATAATTGGCCTAACCTTTCTTTATTCACTGATAGGACATGGGCATTGCTGGCTGGCTAGCCAGCCAGCAATTTTATAGCCCGTCCCTAGTAGCCTTGAGAAGATGATGGTAAGCTACCTTCTTGAATTGCTGCTGTCCATATATTACAGTTAGACCCACAATGCCAGTAGGGAGGGAATTCCAGGATTTTGACCCAACAACATCAAGGAACGGTGATCTACAAGATGGCAAATGGCTTGGAGGGGAACTTGCAGGTGGTGGTGTTCCCATATGTCTGATGCCCTTGTCCTTCTAGATGTGGTCGTGGGTTTGGAAGGTGCTGTCTGAAGATCTTTGGTGAATTTCTGCACTGCATCTTGTAGACAGTGCACACTGCTGCTACTGAGCATTGGTGGTGGAGGGAGTGGATGCTTGTGGATGTAGTGCCAATCAAGCGGCCTGCTTTGTCCTGGATGGTGTCAAGCTTCTTCAGTGTTGTTGGGGCTGCACTCATCCAGCCAAGTGGGGAGTATTCCATCACACTCCTGACTTGTGCCTTGTAGATGGCGGACAGGTTTTGGGGAGTTAACAGTGGAGTTAGTTGTCGTAGTATCCCTAGCATCTGACTTGCTCTTGTAGCCTGTATTTATAAGGTGAGTCCAGTTGAGTTTCTGATCAATCGTAACTCCCAGGACGTTGAGTTTTGCACTCAGCAATGGTAACACCACTGAATGTCTAAGGGTGGTAGTTAGATTGCCTGACATTTCTGTGGCACGAATGTCGCTTGCCACTGGTCAACACAAGCCTGGATATGTCCAGATCTCACTGCACTTGAACTGAACTGCTTCAGCACCTGAGCAGTTGCAAATGATGCTGAATACGGTTCTGATGAATGCCCAATTTTTCATCTTATGTTGGAGGGAAGGTCGTTGATAAAGCAGCTGAAGATAGTTGGGCCTTGCACACTATCTTGAGGAACTCCTGCAGAGATGTCCTAGAGTTGAGATCACTGACCTCCAACTCCCACAACCATCTTCCTATGTGCTAGTTAAGACTCTAACCAGCGAGAGTTTGCCCCCGATAACCACTGATTCCAGTTTTGATAAGGCTCCTTGATGCCACACTTAGTCAAATGCGGTCTTGATGTCAAGGGCTGTCACTCTCACCTCACTTCTGAGACTCTGTATGAAACCAATGAACTATAGTGGTAATAGGATATATATAAAAACCTCTGAAAGAAAATTATTTATAACTTCCCACTTTTATTAAAAACTTGATCCAATACAGGTCAATAAAGTGCCGATAAACCAGGCTCTCAAAATATCGAGTACAGAAACTGAAAGCACTTGAAACAACTATTTTGTACAAATAAACATTGTGCAATGTTATCCATGAGTATCAGTTGTTTCAACATTTTAATGGATGTCTGGGATCTCAGTCAAGAATGCATAATGAGGCTTTGTTGAGCAGCAGCTGCTGTCATATGGCCCTGCAGTATAATTGATCCCACAGAAATGTAGTAAACTGATGACAAAGATAATATTCAAACATCAAAAGCAAAGCAGTCCTTTCGATCAGCACCCTTTCCAGCACTTTAAAGTTATTCCCTCTACCACCAACACACAGAAGTAGCAGCTCTAAAGATGCATTGCAGAACTCACCAAAGTTCCTTCCACAGCACCTTTGAAACCAGTGATTTCTATAACCTAGAAAGACAAGGCAGCAGAAACATGGGAATACCATCACCTCCAATTTCCCCTCCAAATCATACACCACCCTATTTTGGAACTGTGGAGCCATTCCTTCACTATCTCATTGCACAATACCAAGTCTAGTATAACATGCTCTCTGGTTAGCTCCAGAACATGCTGTTCAAGAAACTATTCAGAAACTTTTTATAAACTTCCCATTCAGGTTATCTTTGCCCTTCTCTTACCTTTCAGTCTAATATATATTTTATGTCCCATGACTGTTACAGTGACTTTCCAAAAAGCTCTCATTTTTTATTGCTTTATGCACCACTTTACCATGTGGTTACTGTCAGGGTGCCTGTACACTACTCCCACATGCGTCCTCTTACCTACAACTTTTCATCCCTACACAAACTGTTTCTACATCCTGGTTTCCTGAATGGAGGTCATCGCTGTCTACTATTCCAATACCACCATTAACTAATGGAGCCATCCGTCCACCCTCTCCTACCTTCATGTCACTCCCAAAATGTCCTGTACCCCTCAAGATTCAGGTCATAGATCATTTCCTCCCGTAGCCTCATCAATCTTATGCCTATCTGATCATATTTATTTCTATTCGTGCGTTCAATTCCTCTGGTTTGTTTCTAAAACTACATTCAAATACAAAGTCTATAGTTTTAGTCTTCTATTCTTTTGATAAAGTTTGCCATGGATAGTTGCTCCAAATATTGGTACTGGGCAATTGTTCCTCAAGCTCAGACCCTGACTACGTTACAAATTGAAATGCGTCCCAGATAGAGAATTTTAGAAGAAACATCAAGTGACAGACCACACTCTGGGGAGAAAGAAAGATTACAATTTAAAAGAGACTGTAGTAAGAAAAACAAAACTAGCTTGCACTGGCTACACCACCACTAGAATTTCAAGATCATCGACAAAAGCATGCTTTTTGTGTGTAGAAGTATGTCAGTTATTTTGAAAAATACTTTTATTGTTAAATTTTGCTTGTGGTCTTGTACCTATTTAATTACTGTTAGCCTGTGTTGTGGCTTTAAGTTTAATGGAGGGTTGGTAATTATTGAAGATACTGATGCATTTTTCTAATTCTGCTTCTGCCCCATACCCAATACATGAACATAAATAGAGAAGTTAACGTTGCCATGTGTCTCCATCACTGAAGAAATAAGTTAATAGAATTTTTAAAAAGCCCAAAAAGTAGCAAATCAAAAAGTAGTTCTTGAGAAAATCTCAGAAGGATCCCTGAAAATGTTTTGTGCCCTGGGGTTCATGTCTTGCGAGTGTGCCTGTAGCCAGTCTCCCATCATGCCTTGGCTATAATGGGAGATAGTTTGGATAGTCCTTGCCACTTTCATCCTGCTCTCAGAAAGATGATACCGATATGGGAACCATCAGCTACTGGTCCAATGCCCTCCTGTCCTGTCTTTCTTCAGCTTCTGACTTCAAGCAAGACTGGGAAGTTTATTCAATTTGCTGAAAGGGATCAGTGCAAAGTAATTAAGGCCACAGAAACATGTCAGAGAAAGCACTTTTGGAGTAATAAATATTTTGTATTCATTCAAATACTGCTGTACATCTGTGAGTGTACAAGTAATATCCTAAGCTCAAAATACAATGCTTGCATATAGGCAACATTGAGCAAACTGATCTTCCAAATAAACTTATTGCATTAGTTATTAATACACCAATTTACTTATGGATTGAATGATTATAAATGGCCAGTAAGCTGCACAAACCTATTTTAATACCTGAACAAATCAATGTTCAGAGTTTTAAAATTAATTGGGTAATCAGTTAACTTTACACCAGGGACCAATAACAGATCAGAAACTCCAGCTTCGTTTGGCAGCAGAAAGAAAAGCAACAATGGGAAGGGATTTAATTTTTTAAAAAGTACATATCAATGGCACAGTAAAAAGCAAAACTTGTTTCACTTTGTTAAGGCCTGAAATTTATATAGTGGACCTCTGTCAACCACAAAGTTCCAAACTGTTCCTAATTTCGGAAGGTGAAATGTTTAAAAACCTCTTACAATAGGAAACAGGAAACATCCCTGCCTGCGTTTTCAATAGAGAGCCTCCATGAGACCACTAATCTGGTAAAAAAACAAATGTGCCCAGAAATCCCATGTCCTGCCCCCGAACACACAGCAATTCCTATTTTCATGGGGCAAGAACAGAGTGGAGCTGGAACTTGCACATGCTACAGCAGAATTTAGTTATTTAGAGAGTATCTGGTAAATGACTAAGATTTATTCTACTCCTAAGGTTCAACACAGTAAAGCAACTGGTGGTAAGATTAATGAAATGTATAAAAAACGTAAGTAAATATATAATTGAAAAAAAAAACTAAAGTTAACTAGAATGCGTTAAGGAGGGTGGGTGAGGTAATGTGTCACAGCTGCAGCATGTGGGAGCTTCCTGGATGCCAAGTTCATTCAGGGAAACATGCTGGCAGTGAGTGTTAGAACTTTCAACAGCTTCAGCTCCATGCTTATGAGCTGGAGGCTGAACTATAGAAACTGAAATGAATCAGGGAAGAGAAAAAAGTTACTTGGATATTTTGCACTAGGGGGTGGTCATACACATTAGAATAGGGTCTTCTGATTTTATCCCTGATCAAGGAAAGAAGGGCATGGCTACAGGTGAGGCAGAAATTTAGAAGCCTCAGTCTTAGCAATTGTTTAAGAAGTTTTGAGGTTCTTTGAGCTTAGCTTGGGAGCTATTGGGTGGATGAGTTAACTGACCATAACGACCCACCTGTTCTTTGCAGCAAAGCACGCAAGTC